AATAAATATCAAAATGCAGTCTAGTCTAGTTCTTAGTAACACAAAACCATCGGGACCAACCTTTTGAAGTTGGTCCCGGTCCCGGTCCCGGCTGAAATAAAATTTTAGTCCCGGTCTCGGCCAAAATAAAATTTTAGTCCCGGTCCCGGCAAAAAGTAAAATTCTGGTCCCGGTCCTGGTTTAGGTCCCGGCGGGACCGGGACCGGAACCACTTTGCAGATGTCTATCTTTATGACTTATGCATATTTATCATCTAGTTGTTCTTTTAAAATTTATACTGAAAACGGAATATATACTCAGCATTATATTCTTTTTATGGTATAAGAGTTAAAAAATTAATGTTTCTTCGCGTAAGAGTTTCAATCGACGACGAACTTAGTAAAATAACAAGCTCTAAAATGAAATCATTAATGAAACTAAGCTATTTAACATTTTTTTCAACTGATTTATTAAGATCAATCAGTGTGACGTTTCATTCTAACTAAGAACATTATCAAACACAAATAAATAGACAGAAGAAGAATATATATAAGAGTAAATTAATATCTTCGTTTTTCTATTCTATTGTTTTAAACATTCTAATGCAGACGAATCAATTTTACTCCCCCCCGTGCATTGAAATGCTTAAAACAATAGAATAAAAAACGAAGACATTATTTTACTCTTATAATATATTCTTCTGTCTATTTATTTGTGTTTGATAATGTTCTTAGTTAGAACAAATCGTCACACTGATTGATCTTAATAAATCAGTTGAAAAAAATGTTAAATAGCTTAGTTTCAATAATGATTTTATTATGGAATGTGGTGCTACCAAATGACAAATAAGTTCTATATTATATATTTTTTCTACGAATATTGTATTTTGTCAACTATCTCGATGAAATGTACAAGAAAGTTTTCCACAAATACTATCCTAAGAAAAAGCAAAAATAAACGCAGAACGTAAGGTGAAACTAAATCCTCTACATCGTTCAATTCTGAAGACTTCTTCTATTAGAGTTATCTGAATTTTTTTGTTCATGTTTTCTAAGCTCGACCAACGGTCAATAAGAATTCTTATTCACAATTCGTATACAGTAAATACGTGAATTTCTTCGTAATCTGAATAGTATTTTAGATTAAATTCAGATATCATTCATGTATCTTATCTTTGTGTACATTCACATCGCTCGCAGAAGTGATGTTTACTTATTGAGCAATCTTCATCGAATCAATCAATGAATCTGCTGGACAAATTTATTTTCTGCTTTGTTCTTCCTCTTCTTTGAATTTTTTCTTTTCTTATCTTTGCTTTCCTACCTCTCCAATTTGATTAAGACTAACAATCAATTACTAAGCATATGAGATCCGTTCTGTTTATGCCACATACATTTGTCGAATATATATTAACTGAAAATATTACTCTCTTTTGACTTGATTAGAGTTTCTAATTGGATTATGTAGCTCATAATTAATAATGTTGTATTGCTTGTCATAAAGCAAGTTTCAATTAGCTCATATACTGATGAATTGATAATTTGTGATGAAAACTCTAATGCAGCAATTTTATGTTTGAGAATATTAGAAACTTATAATTTATCGTACGTTTCAAGCTTTGAACATAATCAAAAAATTAGGATTTCAATGTGAAAATTGAGACTTTAAATCAATAAAATCAACCTGTATTTTCTCGATATTCTAATGTTCGCATCAACACATGATTTTGATTCTTATGATGTCAATGTTATGCGAATTCTTACTTTAATCAAAGGAACTCTTTTTCACATAATTAAATCTACAGCGAATACTTTTTTTGAAGTAATTCAGTAGATCAAAAGATAAATGGAAGCTCCAAACGGACTAAATGTCTTTCACGCGTACTGTGAAGCAATAAAAAATACAAATTCACGAGAATATAAATAATTATGGGAACCAGTCTCAAAAACAAAAATATTAATCTATTTTGAGCATTTACAGCTGTTTTCGTTGGAAAAGATGATCATAAACATTTCTCACTATCTTTTACGAAGAAGAAAATGACTTATATAACCGTTTCCTAACAGAACGGGTGATTATGACAGTTTAAACGGTATTTTCAGCGTTTCACTGCTTCCTGGGCATTTCATTCTATTTTACTCGAATATCTGATGATCTACAATTAATATATATATAAAACTTCAGAACGAAAACACACTTTTGTTTAAATAGCATAATTATTCTTCTTAATTTTTGTGCACTTAATTGAGAATTTTATTTCTTATTTAGAATTAATTTTATTAACTAAGAATAGGCAGAGATTGTAAAAGATATTTTAGAAGCTCTCGTCATAGATCGAAATCAATTCAATATTAAGAAACATAAATCAAGAGGAATAATAGTATGTTTCGAGAGTTTTTAAATTTTTCAAAGTGTTTTAGTTCACTATTTTCACATCGAATATAACAAGAGAATTTACATCAGATATTGCATTTATTCCAATAGCAAATAAACGATATTGACCATAGAAGTATTGAATATATGACAATAAAAAAAAAAAGATTCTCAAACTGAAACTAATACTCTGATAATCTTATTGATTAAAGTTTGAATGTGAAGGATTTTTATTTCTGAAGTACGAGGCATAAAATTACTTGATCATATATGATATATATTAAAGTAAAAGTTATATTTAATTTAATTCTGATTATTTATCATTGAAATAAGAATTGTTACCAACAAAAAGTCAATCATCAATCTTATTACTTAATTCATTTCAAAAATATAATTTTTATCTATTGTCTGAATGACTCGTAAATGCCTTTGAATGGTAATATCTCGACATTCAAGCAAAATAAACATTCATCTTGAATTTCTTATCTGAACAGTAAAAGATGACATCACTTTGGAAAGGATTTAAACATTTGTTGAGGTATAGTCTTCACCTTGAGGTGTGGCGGTGAAATTATTTCTTTCAACTATAGCCACATTCAAACCCGCAACCCCGATTATTAAAAAGAAACATTGATTTTTTTAATATGTAATCAAGTTGCTATCTAATGTAAAAATGCAAACGATACGATCGTGTTCGATTATCATCATTACTTTTTCGTCGTCGTTCTGCAGCGAAACAACAAGTTGGAGTCTACATTTTCTCTCTAGGTTTTGAATGCAATAACTTATTCTAATTTGCAAATTGTGTTTGAAACTTACATAATGAATGAATTTTTCTTTTACACAGAAAATTCTTGCTTACTGGAGACATAAATTAGGTCATGTGCCTCATCGAAAGATTTCGGATTTTTCGAAGCGATTATCATCTTGAAAATCGAAGTTAAAATGGTAAACCTTTTAATAAGAAAATATTCACACGATAATTCTTCAGTATTGATTAATTCTTACGATGAAGAGTTAAGTCAAGTGATCTTTTAAACTCAATTCCAATCATGAGTTGCTCGCTTATTTGAATTTTGCCCTCTTTTTGCTATCGCGTGTGGTAAAATAAGAAAAAAGTTTACATAAGATAAATGATCGAATAACTAGTTTTATTTTATATATATCACTCCATCGACTAACCATGAGAATAATAGTCGAATGTATTAGATACGAGTGGAAAGATAATTAGAATGATAACTTTCAACAGTTAGAGCGCTAGACTTGAATTATTCTACAGTCTGTGAGTCCAAGAGAAAAAAAATCGGCTACTTAAGGGTGTAATTGTGGGTGTTACTGAAGAGAAGGCTGTGATACCCAAACCCATTTTGTTTGTTCTCTAACTTTTGATAGGACTTGGGAGTAGGTGTGGATACAATTAGCAAGAAGATCACACCCGCATCCATCATCATTGTCTGTTGAGGAGCTATTTTACAATCACATGACGCTCTTGTGTTTTGGATCATTTCAACTTTTCTCTGTCGTGATCTTGTAGAAATATTGCATTGCTCTTAAGATCTAATGAAGTAACGGACTTACAGAACACGATAAAAATATAATAACCTAAAGAACCGTGCAGATGTTGTTGTCATTGGTTGAAATCACAAGTTAATCGTCTGTGGGCGAGATGTTGCGCCTTTCAAAATGCAAATCCATGTTTAAAACTATTTACTGATGGATCTGCCAGAGAAATCTCACCAACATACTGCTAATGCGAAGGCCTTGTTCAGTGCACTTGATAGTTCCATGCAAAACACAAGTGAAATAGCTGAAATAACGCAGGTGTAGAGTATGAATGTCGGCTTTCTGTTACTTCTCATCCTCATCCTACTCTGGTCTTTTTCTTCGACCCGAAATGTAGTATTTTAATCAGTCTTGTCTTTATGCAAGCTCCTTTGATTCCAGGAAATTTTGAAGTGTGTTGTAAGTATGTTTTAAATTTTCTTTTTAATTAAGCTCAGCATAGCAAGTTTTTAATTTGCATAGATTACAATCAAAATAAAACGTGATTCGAGGGGAAAATTTATTCCAACGGAAAACAATTTTTTTTTCTTGTTCAAATTATGCAAATATATGTCTCTGTATGAATAATTTTTATTCAAAATGAGTAGATAATTCGTCAAGTTGATTATATACTTGCAAAATATGTCGAGAGAAACTTGAAGCAAAACACAATAAATAATTCAAGTAGCTAATATTTATCGTTTTTCTTGCGTGAATAAACAGAAAAGGAAAGAACTATATAAAATCGCAAAAGACCAAGCATAAATAATAAAAAAAACAGTAGTAATATTTCAGTCAGTAACGTTGTAAAAGATTATCTACGAATGTTGTCTCCATTATTGGTTGTAATTTTCAGTTTGATAAAACTACAATCTGTTCATACAAAAAATACTACTATTTCAAATGACATTATCAACATTCCAAAGGTTGCAAGTGGATTAAGTAATTCGAACTTCATCAGTGCTCAATATTTCTATGTTAAACATATGCCAATGTTTCGATTTGACTTAGATACAGTCTCATCGACATTTGTTAAAATACCTGGTCTTCTAATTTCTGTTAATCATGAAACGCCAATGTTATATAAAATTCACTTTTCAGCTGGCTGCTACATGCCTCAATTTGTTCACAGTTATATACACTTTATGATTAATGATATGATTCTCATTGACAATAAATTATTACCGAACACAAATAATCGACATACTTATGTTCCAAAACTTGGCAACGATTTGTTTCAAGTAGATTCGCATGGTGCTTCATTTATGCGCAGTTCAGACACTGCTGGTACCTATTATACATGTACTAAATATGAATTAGTCTATTTACCACCGAATCTACATGTAATTGAAGCAGTTGTACGAACTGATCATCCATCCTTATACATACATACGGGAACATTAACTGTTGAACTAACACAATATACACAAGATGCACGTAT